TGCATGTTCCTGGTAGATGTGACAATGGCAGACACAGCGGGAAGAGATGCCACCAAATCCTCTGGAAAATGCACCAGCACCCTCAATTTAAGCCTTGTGTATGTTACTCCTTGTTATTATTTTAACAACGAAATGATGCATAACTGTCATTGCACTTATAAAATGTAAAATAAGTGTAATTATTATAACACAGAGAAATCTGCATATTTCTCCTCAAAGAAAGCACTAGGAAAACACTGAATGGGAAAAGTGTCGTATGGATTTCAAAATCTGTTTAGGTGTCTGTTGACACTCAAATTTTCCTCACTCCTCTTCAGAGTCTCAGGTGTTTCTGAAACAGAAAGTACAACTATGTTAGAAATGAAAAAAAAAAAAACATGTTTGAAGAGGCTTTAGACATCTATTCCACTTCATGCAAAAAAGTACTAAAAGGCATAGACTGGGTTTAGCGTGCATATATTATTACATCATGGATCATAGGTCCCGGATAGGACAGACAGCTGATCTCAGTGCTCTGTCAGGGGTGAGATTTTCTCAAAGTTTTCTCCCTCCGCTTTGCTATTTTGAACTGAGATCAGTTGGAGAGAGATTCTTTGATTTATGCCCAATGAGAAATCAGAAATAGTAACATTGTTCTCTTAGGGTCACCAACAGACCTCAGGGGACATCCCCAAGTACCAACACAAATCCTTTGGTGCCTGTGATGTCATTTCAAGTTTAGGAGTAGGTATGCAAAGACGATGCATGACATTGAGAAGACAATTCAAATCATAGTAATATTAATTTCATTCTTCATCATAAACTAAATATGTGATGTTCAATATGCAGTAGGATCTACAGGGAAGAAACACAGATGGGGATAAAGGTAGAACAGGGAAAGGGGAGATACAGTCATTATACTTCAATTTAAAAAGTAGATTTAAAAATAAAGGAAAAATGAGGTTTTTCTTTCCAGTATGGTTCTTACACTAAGAAATAAATTATATTAAGATATTGCTGCACATTGAGCCAAAGCACTGCTTAAGATACAAAGACATTATGATTGATGTTCTTAGGAAGAAGTATGATACATGAACTTTTATTCTATCAATGCATGATCATTGATGATTTATGCTTTTAGATCAAACTTTTAGTTTAATACTACCAGACTGTGTGGGATAGGGGCTTAAGTCTGCTTCATTTAATGCAGTGTGTTCTCCTAGTAATAGACTAGGGGTGGGTTATATCAACTCATTTATACTTATTCTCTCTTATGATAGTTTGGTGTCTATTCAGATTTAAAATCTGAGTCCAGAATTCACCTGAACTCACCTGAATTCAGTACATGTCTTTAGAAGCCAATGGCAGCCATTGTTGTATCTTGTGTGTTCAGGAAGCAGCACTCAGTCAGGACTGAGACACAGTCCTTCTCATCTTTTAAGTGGCATCTGTTGTTTTGTACTCCAGCCAGTATAGCCCATCAAGCTGTGCTTACAACATGCTAAAATTTTTCTGACACACTTCTCCAAACTCTTCTACACAACCCAGTTTTAATTCATTGTATTTTTGCATTCTTATAACATAAAACTTTCACATACAATGCTTTTCAAAAAAAATATTTATTTTACATAACTACCAGAATTCTCTCTCCCTTCTGTCCTCTGGTTTCCCATCTCCCCTCCAACCCATCCTTGTCCCACTCCTGAGAAAGGGTAGGGCCTCCCATGGAGAGACAACAAAGCTTGGCAAATTAAGTTGTAGCAGGACAATGTTCCTTCCCCCTGCCACACACACACACTCCCCTGATATCATGACTGAGCAAGGCAACCCATCAAAGGGTATGGGCTCCAAAAATTTAGCTCAAACACCAGGGATAGATCCTGGTCCCATTGCCAAGCACCCCCAAACAAACCAAGCTACATAACTATTAACTACATGCAAATGGCGTAGGTAGGTCCCATGCAGTCTCCCCAGATGTCAGTCTAGAGTTATGGAGCTCTGATCAGCTGTGTCTGTGGGTTTCCCTATCATGATCTCAAACCCCACCTATATCATATCATCCATCCCATCTCTCTTCAACTGGACTCCTGGACTTTGGTCTGGTCCTTGGCTATGAATCTCTGCATCTGCTTCCATCAGTTACTGAATTCTAAGGTTCTATGATAACAGTTAGGGTAGTCACCAGTCTGATTACAGGGGAAGGCCAGTTCAGGCACCCTCTCCACTACTGCTAGGAGTCTTAGGGGGTCATCCTTGTGGATTTCCCTAGCACCATGTTTCTCAATCAAGATATGTAACAACCTCAACATATGTCCAGGTACACTGAACCTGATAGGAGAGAAAGTGGGAAGTAGCCTTGAGCACATACACTCCTTATACTACGTTCCTTATATCTGTTTAAAAAAATAAACCTAAAATTCAAGGGATCAACAGTAGTCAGTTTCTTGATAAACTTTCCAAGTCATACCTGGATGTCTGAATAAGAATAGATAACTTTTACAAAATGTTTGAGTCTAATCAAAAAATAAAGAAAAAAATGACAAGCCTGTAAGTCAAATAGTCCACTTGTTTATTTGCTTACTATTTAATGTATATAGAAATAAAAACAGGTTGAATCTAATAAGCAATAAATCAAGCATGAAAGTAACAAAGCAGAACTTCTCAAGAAAACAGAGGAAATTTTACAGAGACTCCTTACCAGAAATATACTTGTGACCACGGTTAGAAATAAGCTCTAGATTCCTAATGTCCTTAAACAACCAAACCTACAGACTAGCACATATAAAGAAAGCAATGGCCTCAGACATTGGTCGCAAGCAGAATAGAGTAATGAAGTTTGATAAAGGGAAACAAATATGGAGGTTAAGCTAGCTTCCCACCAAGAGTTTGTACGTTATGGCTCAAGGAAAAGACACCCAAGGGAGAATTTCTTGAGCTGACTGGGCGGAGAAGAATTTACAAACAGATGCAAGAGAAAGGAAAGCCATACTGAGACCATAACTTTCAAGAGAGATGCAAAAATAAAGCTTCGAGGGTCTGCAACCAGAATCCTTCCCTTTTTTTTTTGTTTTTTCATGTTCTTTTTTTCTCTCTTATTTATTTATTTATTCATTAAAAATTTCCACCTCCTCCCCACCTCCCTTTTCTTTCTCCCTCCCCAACTCCCCTCCCTTTCTAGTCCTAAGAGCAGTCAGGGTTCCCAGAATTTAACAGTTCCTATGCGTGAAGAAAGTAAATGTTTAACAATTTAAGCTATGCCCAGAATGTAACAATAACAAGAATAATTTATGCTTACCTAGATAAATCATTCAAAATCTGATGTCTGGAGGATGTGAGATGATCTCTTGGCTGGTGACTCTAATACCAGCAGTGCAGAATCCTGGAAATGTGAAAACATTTTATCACATGCTGCTGAAAATATCATGAGATGTTTGGTAGTGACAGTGTGATACTGATCTGACCAGTCAGTGGTGAATGGCTGCTTAATGTCTTTATAAAAGGGTAGAGAGGTCAGTTCAACACTTCCTTTTAGGTATTACGATATAAACATTGTCTCAAACATTGAAACTATATCTCAAACTTTGGTTCCTTTTAAGACATTAAACCTGACTGTGTTTTGATGGTTGTGATCACTTGAACCCTGAGTTTCAATTGCCCTCACTGCCTTTTAGGAATGGCAAACCATTGTAACTTTTGAATAATAAAAAAGAAATAGGGATGTTGCTTTCTCCAATCACTCAATCAGCTACAGATAGATTTCTTAAGGCTTCAATGAAAGACGCACCTTCTACACTCTGCCAGAGTATATTTTTCATGATATAGCTAATCAGCAATCTAGTCTCCTTAAACCTTGTGTTCCTTCTTTTTATGTTAACAAATCATTCAGGGTGATCCATCATTGATCTGTCTTTTGGCCATGCCATCAATTATCAAAACTCTAAGCACCCTTTCTAACTCCTGTTCTGCAAAATTAAGTATAATATTTGAGCCGAGGTAGGCCATATGAAGAAATTTTATTAGATCCAACTTTATGTTCTTCATCTATTTTTCCTACATTCTTTAAATTTATTCTCACACAGGTACTATTAGATGTCTGCCCCTGTGGACTGGAATGCAAATTAGTTCTATGAGATCTTAGTGTTCTTCTTGGGTCACACTTTGAACATTATCTTTAGGGGATTGACAGACTTTGAGTGTAGTTAGAGGTCTAGAAACAATAATGTTTCTTAAGGACAGGTTCTGAGGGTGGTTCATATGCTACCCTATTCAGTGTCTGCCTCTCATGAGCCTTTACTACTATTTAAAAGCAGTAATTCCCTGTTTTAACAGGGAGAGTGGAGAAATAGTTTCTGTTGGGTGTGGGAGGCTATATCTAAAACTTTAAGCCATATTCAACTTAGACTTTCACTGTTTCCTATACTACGAATTAAGGAGGAACGTCTCTACAACTATTTAATTACATGTATCATACTCAATAATTGAGAAATGGAAGTAGCCAGACATTTCAAGTTAGAAGTGTAAAAACTGAGAAATATCCCGAGGAACAAATGCCCAGTCTAACAAATCATATCAATTTCATTAGGTAATCTAAAAGCAAGAAGTAAGGTATTTATACTTGGCAAGCCTTTATCTCAGCTTTGAGTTATAAATTTATCACTTCCCTCGCTGTAGGTCTCTTTCTTCCTCCAATCCTCACATTTTTTGTTATTTTAATGAGAATTTGTAATTTTAAGTTATGAAATTAAATTATATGTGTGAACAATTGATATTCAACTATAGGTTATCATTTACTATGTTAAAAAGAGTAATTATTCAAAAATGCATTGTTCCCTTTCTTCTATTTTAATCCATTTGCTGTCTTTATAGGTAAAAATAGATAGCTATATATGATGATACATTGGTAAATGACAATATTATGTATAAACTTTGAAATAAAATTTTAGCTGAAGTATGTGAATGATAACATTATACTCTTCATACTCCAAATTAACCGGAAGTAATTCTTTACCTCTTTTTCACAGGAGAAGATGTTTAAATTTTAACAAATGAAATATATCTTTCAAATACTGGATAAAATGAGATGCTTGCGAAAACGTTCTACCGTGTCTTTCTTGGGTGTTCTTGTCGTTTGCCTTCTATTAATGAACTTGTACATTGAAGATAGCTATGTTCTGGTAAGTTCTGGAGACATTATTTTTGATTCAATATTCATCTTCAGCAAACTTAGTGCAGGTCTAGTTACCCCCCAACCTTAATGTAAAAGGCAGTATTAGTTTGAGCAGAGTTATTTATGCATACAAACACATACACACACACAAACACACACACATATATATATAAGCATACATACATACATACATACATACATAAATACATACATACATATTTTGGATCATATATTGACAACACTATACTTTTTTAACTCATAATTCTCTTTTCTTATCATTTGAGTCATGGTCTCTCTAAGTAACAGTCCTGAAACTCACTTTGTAGACCAGGAAGTCCTCAAACTCACAGAAATTTGCCTGCCTCATGAGTGTTGGGATTAAAGACATATGTCACCACTGTTCAGCTATTTTATTTTTGTTTCTTAAACACTATATGGTGGCTGCTACATACATACATACATACAAACACACACAGACACACGCACACACACACACAGAGAGAGAGTCATATATTAATTATAAATATTTCAGTTCTATATAGTTATATAATATTGGAGTTCTGCTTTGGCAGGGGGTTTAGGTCCTAAAGAGGAAGTGTGTAATTGGGAAATTGGGGGGGGGGACAACAGAATGAAAGGTGATTCTGGTGGCTTCCAGTGCCTTTAATTGAGAAAAGATTACACCATTTCTACTGTATATGTGCACATAGGATTAAATGGGTGACAAAGGGCATGTGAGTTGGAGTGTGGTTTAAGATGAGGAGTTGATGAAGCTAGCTTTAACCCTGGCGATAAGCACCAGTCATAGGTTAATGGACAGGCCTTAAGTTCCTTTTACTAGATGTAAGAATGACTGCTTTGCTTTGTCAAGCAGGAACATTCCTCAAGCCCACAAAGGAATGGAGACTCTTGGGGAGTGGACACCATACTACAGTTTCTTAATCTTACTAGTTGGGCCTGTTCCCCGCATAATGCTACCCAAAAGGGAAGGTCCTGGTGAATTACTTTTTTCCTCATTATACTGTACCATTGTACAGTGTTTTCTCTATACTTATTAACTGAATTCTTGCCGTTAATGGCCTCAAGCTAAAGATCTGAATTGTAGGCATTTCACCCTTGGGATTAGGTGAGCCTAGTAAATCTCTAGCATTGTGCCTCACAAACCTTTGAAACTCCTATTCTTGGGGAATTAATGTTCTCTTCCTTATTTTAATGCCAATGGCATGCATGCATTGCACATACATTTATTTAGGCACGCACAAATACAAAAATAAATAAATAATTACTTAAAATTATTTATTTTATCTTCATGTCCTATAATTACATTTTTCTCCCTTCCCCTCCCCCTTCAAAACCTTTCTAAATATCCATTCTAGGTCTCCTTCAAATTCTGATCCTGTCTTCTCCTTAATTGCTGTTACATATGTGAACACACACACAAACACACACATACACACATGCCCCACTTGGTAATGGATAACCAATTAATATTCTTTTTTCCCCCAGAAAAGAATATTTCTCCTGTTTTCTGCATTACTTAGTTATCAGTAACTCTTTCCATCAAATTGAGACCTAGTGGGCTTTTCCCCATCCACCCTAACATGAATATTATCATTTTCCTTGTTCAGCCTGGTGAGACTTTATGATTGTAGCTGTGATATTCCTAGAAGACAAAATCTTATGGTCAACTCCATGTTCCTATAGATTCCAAAATCTTTCCAACTGCTCTTCCACGTCAATCCCTGAGACTTAGGTAGAGTAATTGTTTTCCTAACCAGCTGTGATGCCTGAGAACCACAGCAATGACAGACATGGGGAAGAAACCCAAACTGTGCAAATAGCAGCAGGCACAACTTTGTGACAATCAACCACAATTGGACTTAAGACCCACTCGACAACAGGAAAATCATGCTTGGTACTGGAAACTCAGCCGACTGCCCAGGGCCAGTGAGTTCATGGATCTTGGAGGAGAATCACCGCTGTAGTTAACTAGCATATCCCCCAACTATTTTCTAAATATTTTTCTTTGTACCCAGAGCTAAGTAATGTTCTCACCCCTCATCAAGAAAACTTCTCTTTGCAAGAGAGATCATTAGAGAAAATCACAACCAATCAAAATTCAGAATCATGGAACCCAATTCAAACAACTTCTATACAAATAAATCTTATTTTTAATGTGTATATTTAAAATGTGAATATTTATTTAAAAACTATCGCTTGTAATAAAATACAATATCATTTCTGCTTAATACTTCTCCTCTTTTAGCTTTCATTTTATTTTTCATAATCTTCTCTCTCTTTGTTTTTTTTTTCTTGACTCCATAATGTGCAAGCAATTTTCGAAGCAAAAACTGAAATGTCTTTCACTTGCGTTGCTGAAACAACACTTGTAATTCTGAGAAACCAGATGAACAGAATTAGTAGTCTCTGGAGTTATTTACCACATTCAATTCCCTTTTTGATAGAAAATTTATTTGTGGTTTGAAACTATAGGCATATTGATGTCTTGGTATATTTGTGTTTGTTTTAGAAAGATAAGTTACTTTCAGTTGGAAAGGAAGCAGAACTCAGTGAAAGAGACAAATACTTTACTAGGCAAACTAAGTGGCAGAGACGATGCGTGCCCAATCAACTTAGCCTTTCAGCTGTGAGCATCTTCAAAGTAGCCACCAGGGTATATATTTAGACTGTAGTGAGACCATTGAATTGCATTACCATCCAGAAAATGATTGTCATAAAGCTTTGCCTTATTACTGAGACACACACTTTAGCATAGTTACTGGAGAAAAGAAGGCACCCAGGGAGCCTGGATGTTCAGTCAGTCGCCTCTGAAAGCAGCCAACCAGACCAGCTCAGGTGGAAGTTACATTTTTATTGATGCTGAAAGTATTAAGAAGCTTGTTCTTCAGAACTGAATTAAGTATGTTCATATCAGCTCTGTTTCATTTTATATTCTTCTACGTACTTCAACCAAAATGAATATATTCCATTTTATCACAGAAAAAGTCTAGACATTTACATGCTCAGGGAAGAATCCTTAAAAAAATACTTACTAACTTACAGTGTCAGTAGCATGTAGCCTCATATAATAATAGAATATCAAAATGTATACAACCTAGAGACTACTGTGGTTTTATAGAAATGTCTTCATGGCTTCTATTGATGCTGTACACTATTATATTGTTGTTGAACAACCTTATGTGACGTCTGCTGTTACTTTGTAGCAATCTGAAATTGTTTATTTTATATATTAATTGTTTTATATACTTTTTGATCTATAGAAATAGATGAACCTATATATGTATAAGAGAGTTAGGATGATCAGAATTCAGTAAATATTCAACCTCTATATTTATAAAAGAAAATTTTATTTAATATTGCATTGTAGATATTTCAGATGTATATCGCTTTGGAACATGATGGATATCCTATAAACCTTGTAAAAATGTCCTTTTTCAAATAATTAAAGTGGAATAAAACATAGAATATGCTAGCACAGATAGAATAACGTTATGGAAATACTTGAATATTTGAAAGGCTGTAGGGTTGAGTTTTTTGAATTCATAGTGTAGTTAAAGATTCTTAGCTCTCCTGTTAAATTCCAGTAATTTTTTTAATCCCATGAAAAATTCTGCCCATGATTTTAAAGTTTAATGGTGTCTTTTGCCTTTGAGTCAGTAACTAAGTATTTATTGTCCTAATCAAGGTAAAACTTATGTCTGAATCTCATACAATATTTTAGAAGAGAGATTTAATTAAAGTTTTATTGACCACAGATAAGTATCAAGGCAAAATTCATTTAAAGAATTTACTTTTTCTAGTCTTAGTGGCTTGTACTTGATTTGTTTACGTTCCTACCAGAAACTCTAGAGATATGTCTATTTAAGAATACACAGAGAAGTGGACAACTTTTCACAAAGGAACATGGCTTCCTAATCAGAGCCTACTGACATATATGGTAGTGAATCAGAGAATATATGACCAAAAAAAATCTAATAAGAGTATGGCTAGTAATAACTTTATCAAATTATCAAAATCTACCACTGAACTTACATTTAAGCTCAGAGAAAATGAAAGCAAATAATGACTAATAGTATATAGTTAACCTGAATATGGAAAATTTTTTAAATGTAAGCACTTCTGTTCATATAATGACACAAATTACTACCAGCACAAAAATTGTTATAATGAATATAAATGATCTCAACTATCTTCATCAGAACATCAAACAAAAACAAATGTTCACATATACATCTATAAACAAAAAGAGAAGGACTACAATAAGAAAGATAAGAGGCCAATAGGATCTCAAATCATTTTACTGACAAGGTACAAAGGTATTCTAATTGATGTTATTGAAAAACATTTTCAGATAAGCGATTTCATGTCAAAATGTTGATGGTTAATCATTCTCAACAGTTTTAAATTATATTTCTCTCCTAGTCAATGTTCTGTTGCTATTAAAAGATAGCATTACCACAACTCTTGTAAAGGAAAGTATTTAATTGGGCCTGGCTTGCAGGCTCAGAGGTTTAGTCCATTGCCAGTATGGCAGGAGGCATGATTCTTGCATGCAGGCCGGCATGGTGCTGGAGAAGTATGTAGCATGAGGATCCGGCTTGTTGGGGTTTCTGTCCCGCCCAGTACCCCACGGCCGGCAAGTCCCAGAGAAAATCAATCACACAGAGATCTCTATAAGTTATAAAGCTGATTGACCCATTAGGTCAGGCTACTTATTAGCTCTTATAACTTATGTTACCCCTTATCCTTATCTACATTAGCACATGGCTCAGTACCTTTTCCAGCGGAGCAGTTTACCTCTTTCCTCTTCGGTGATCTGCACAGGAATGTGGAGGGAGCTTCCTGCTGGTCAGGATACTCCCAGTCTCTTTGTTCCACCCCTACTTCCTATCTGGCTTTCCCGCCTATACTGCCTGCCTGGCCAATCAGCGTTTTATTAAAATATGATTGACAGAATACAGACAATTCTCTCACAACATTTCCCTCTTTTTTTTTTAAACAAAGGAAAATACCCATAGTCCATTGGTTGGGAATGTGGGCTTAGTATTTCAGTCTACTTCCTGCTGGTTGGGGGCGCTGATGATCCCATGGAGATCCAAAGAAAATCTAGAGCCATAATCAAGTCCCGACTGGAGTATCCTGCGAGTCTTGATCATCTCAGGCAGCAGTCCTGAATCTGTTCTGGATGTAGAACTCAGACATCTGGGCCATCTGTTACTGTCAGAGATTTTTCAGGTGGCCTCCCTTGGTCAAAGATGATTTTTCTTAACTCTGAATAAATCCACAGCCTCTCATTTTCTGTGGAAACAAAAGCAAAATCTCTTCTCCAAAGTAACATACCTTTTGACTTCAATTCTGAAGCCAAGGTATTTTCAAAATACCTATCTTGGGTTAGTTCAGCAGCATTTATAAACAAAAGTCTTTTAGCAACTGTTGTACATACTTAGCTGGTAGAAAACAGAGAGAGTGACAATGGGCCTGGCTTGAGTATTTGAAACATCAAATCACACCTCCAGTGACACATTTAGTCAAAAAAGGCCACACCTACTCCTACAAGGCCACACATCCTATTAATGCCAATGTCTATGAGCATGGGGGGCTATTTTAATTTAATTCACCACAATGACTTTACAAGGTCATCTATAAATGAATTGATAAAACTTTGTAACAAATTTCTCTAAATCTAAATATTTTGCTTACACTTAAATCTTCCTACTCATTCTTTAAAATCAATACTTTTTCCATTTGAAAGCATTTGTGGAAGATTTCATAGACAAATTTGGCTCAAAATTGGTGAATCTGAAAGGAAATAATTTCAAGTGAAAGCCCCAAATTGATCATCAGCAAACTATAAAGTCCTTTTGTTTTGAAATTTTAGAATTTTAATGTGTTGACAATGGGGATTTTCAAGTAAGGATAGATTTGCTGAAAATGGGATAATCGTGCATGCTATAGAAAATCCAATGTGTTAGAATAAAGATTATAAGTGAGAAAGCTTAAAGCAGAACCTAAAGGTAAGAAATCAGGTCAAAGTTGAGGAGCTTATGATTGTGGGCTCATAATTGAGATTCACGTAACTTTCTAAATACATGTACTCACATTTCCATTTGTGGCCACCTATTATTTATTAATTTTGCATGTATTTACTTTTGCATTTAGGAAGGCGACAAACAACTCATAAGGGAAACATCCACACATCAACTTAATTCTGAACGCTATGTGCACACATTCAAAGATTTATCTAACTTCTCAGGAACCATAAATGTCACCTATCGCTACCTAGCTGCCACACCTTTACAGAGAAAGAGTAAGTATTCATAACATTTTTATTAAAATTTGCATTAAAAACTGAAATTTTTATAAAAATAATGATAATTTTTATGTTTGTGTAGCAATAGAAGATTTAAAGATTTATTATTGAGATTTATAGTTTAAAAAGGATTTGGCATTCTTCAAACTTTGTATATACTTTCTGACCCTGTAACTATTAAGATATCAAATTTTAATAAAAATTCTTCAGAAATTTGTAATAGGTATTAAGAGAGATAATTATCCCTTGACTGTAAAATTAAATGTCTAACTTGATACTATTTCTGCGCTCTTTTACTTCAACCTGATGGTTTAGTTTTATAATTTCTTACCAACTTTGAATGTGGTCTTGATAGTGTATTATTTTTTAAATGACAATCACAGACTATCATGTACCAGGGGATTTTTTTTAATTATTATTATCTCATGGTTCTGGTAGTCAGAATTTGATATTTAAGTGCTTGGATTCTCATAACCCTTATGACTGTACCCAAGAAAATTTGTCAACTTAAAATTCAAGTTGGAGAGCATTCTGAAGGATGACAAATTTACTCAAAACAATATGAAGATTTTCTGATTGGGGAAAAATGATAGCCATTCAAAATTTAGACCTCCTTTAAGTGACTCCTGTATGGTCTAGGTTCTGAGAGGGTAAAAGAGAAGCAAAAGGAATGAACTTTCATCCAAGTGATAATTACCACTTGGATGGTTACCACTAGCATTGCCTGACAACACCACAAGTTGTAAACTTAAAACGTGTCAGTGATTAAGTCATGTGACAGTGACTTAAAGAATTGTATATTCCAGATAGGAATGGCAGAAGAAAGGAATGACTTTCACTGGACTTTTTCAATATATCTATGGTATCATGGAAAGGCCCATATTAGCCCAATAATCCTTACACATATGCACATTATCACTTTTATACAATGGTGATTAAGAAATTTTATTGTGTAGTATTCGGGATAGGAAATCAGACTTTAGAAAGACACACAATGCTTGTCGGAGGGAAACAGTATGTACTTGAGGTTATTTCTTGCCATAAAAATATCCAGTTCTCAATCTAATCTCAATCTTCAATCTAAGAAAAATTTCCCCTGAGGGTAAAGATGCAACGTGTTTTTCAAAACAACTGAAACAGTAAATTCATACCTTTGAACCATATATTTGTAAGATTTATTTCTCCCTACATCCTATTAAACTGTTTATTTTCTATAAGACATTTCAGGCAAATTTCAAAATAAAGCTAGGAAGTCCGCCTTTGAATTCATTTAGTAAAAGTAGCAATATGATAAGGAACCCTGAAGCACACAATACATTCTCTGGAAATTTTATAGATGATTTAAATTAATGTCTAGTCTTCTTTCCTCATCACTTGAGTCTAGCTTGCCAGCCTTAATTAAAAATTTGCTATACTCTTGTAGATACTATTTATTATTTTACAATGTTCATTTTTTTTACCTTGTTTTGGGTTTTAAATGTGTGTGTATACCAAACTAGAACACAAGAAAGTCCTTCTGCCTCATTCCTCCTCCTGCTAAGACTACAGGAGTGAAGTACTGTGCTTCATTTGTTTGTAGATACATTATATCTAAACATCTGTCTCTCTTCTAAAGGTAATATATAGAAATATTAGGGTATATAAGATATTTTAGGATAATTTCATTTTCATAATTCATAAGCATCATTTGTAATATAGGATTCATATTACATTGCTCAAAGAATATAAATTGTTTTCTATATAAAATATCAAATATACATGAAACACTTTCGCCCTTGTGTAGTGAGTTTAATACTCTAATATTAAAATGTTAAATATACAATCATTTAATAGATTTGCTTGCTATAATTGCAGGCTTAAAGAATTCAAATCTTGTTTATCTGGTTCCTATTGTTGCATTATTTGAAGTCTATTAACATTTAATTACTTTTCCACTGATTTTTTTTTTTTCTTTACTCAGGGTATCTCACAATTGGTCTTTCATCAGTGAAACGGAGAAAAGGAAACTATTTACTCGAGACAATAAAGTCAATTTTTGAACAGTCCAGCTATGAAGAACTAAAGGAAATTTCAGTAGTGGTGCATCTAGCCGACTTTAATTCATCCTGGCGTGATGCCATGGTCCAGGACATTATGCAGAAGTTTGCCCATCACATCATTGCAGGAAGATTAATGGTTATACACGCTCCTGAAGAATATTATCCAGTTCTGGATGGTCTTAAAAGAAATTACAATGACCCAGAGGATAGAGTCAGATTTCGCTCCAAGCAGAATGTAGACTATGCTTTTCTTCTTAATTTTTGTGCCAATACTTCAGACTATTACGTCATGCTTGAAGATGATGTCCGGTGTTCCAAAAATTTCTTAACTGCCATCAAGAAAGTCATCGCCTCCTTAGAAGGAACATACTGGGTAACTCTTGAGTTCTCAAAACTTGGCTACATCGGTAAACTCTATCATGCTCACGATCTCCCACGACTGGCCCACTTTTTATTAATGTTTTATCAAGAAATGCCTTGCGATTGGCTATTGACTCATTTTCGAGGGCTCTTGGCTCAGAAAAACGCGATCCGATTTAAACCTTCCCTCTTTCAGCACATGGGCTATTATTCATCCTATAAAGGAACCGAGAATAAGCTGAAGGACGACGACTTCGAGGAGGAGGCATTCGACATCCCGGATAATCCCCCGGCAAGTCTCTACACCAACATGAATGTCTTTGAAAACTATGAAGCAAGCAAAGCCTACAGCAGTGTTGATGAGTATTTCTGGGGAAAGCCACCTTCCACAGGCGATACCTTTGTCATTGTATTTGAAAATCCAATTACGATTAAAAAAATTCAAGTGAATACAGGAACAGAAGATCGACAGAACGACATTTTGCATCACGGAGCTCTCGATGTTGGGAAAAAACTTATACTAAAGAAGCAAATAAGACAATGTGATACGTACCTAAGACTGGGGGATTTCAAACACGGAAACTTTGAAATGTCAGAGGTGAATCAAAAGATTCCATTTGACATCCATTGCATAAGGATATGCGTTACCAAAACCCAAAAAGAATGGCTGATCATTCGGAGCATCAGCATTTGGACTTCCTAGCCAATTAAATCAGTCTCCTGAGTTTCTGAAGCGGGCCTTCCTGTTCGAGTTTTTCCTCTCCTTCCTCTTTTGCTACTTCTGTCTTTTGGAAGGCAACCAATGGATGTGATGTGTCGCGGGAAAAGTTGATCATCTCAGCAGTTCTGATTGTAGTTTAGTGAAACACACACTTGTATGCTTTCACTTTTGAGGTCAAAGGTCATTCTGTAGTTAAGGTTGCTGCCATCCATATACTTAAATGTTTATAGATCCACGATTTCAAGCAGGAGTCAAAAGAGTGATGTGAACGATTTAAAATGAGAAAATTCTTTCAGTGGATTATAATTAAAACACAGTTGCCAGCTGTACGCACTTATTCATGAATGGTTAATTCATTATATGATCAGACAACTTCTCATTCAGAATCTCTGAGAATATGCTGTTGGTTGCAATCATAAGCTGTGATGCTTTTCTTGGAAATTTAGGCTTTCACTGACTGCTCTATTTCTACAGTTAATACCTCCTCAAAGCAGTGAAGTCTTAACAGCAGACTATTTTGTGTAAGTAGGGCTAAAGAAAAAAGAGACTTAAAAACAATCATTCCTCTGGTTGTTTCTATGACAAGAAACATTGCTCCTTGTTTTAAAACATTTAATTGCTTCAAAAAATTTAATTTCAATTTTCTGTGGGAAGAATTCCATTTCTAAGTTCCCACTGGAAATAGAAAGTTAAGCTTAGTATTTTAAGGTTATATAGGACCCCTGTAATTAACAGACAAAAAGAGAGGACCTGTAGTTAGTCCATTTGTTCACAGTTTCAGTATATGCAGATAAAATTGAAATTGATTTTATATTTTTTGTATTAAAATTCATGTGATTGAAGTTGTTGCAATTTATCATATTTTGGGGAGATTAAATGGCTGTCTTACGTGGGAGAAAGGTAAAAACTGTAGAAACTAATTTTGTCATATTTTGTTTTATTTTCCTGTAGTCAATGATCTATTTCTTCGAAAACAAAAAGGCAGGGAATTATTCTGCTTTTTTTGTCTTAATTAACATACAACACTCTTTTCATCTATGGATATCTCTCGTCACAGAAGTTAGCGTTTCTGTTTTCTTTATCCCTTCCTTCCTTCTTTGATTTTTTTTTCATTCTCCTTCCGTGTATGTGTGCATTTATTTATTTAATGTTTATTTGTTTAAGCCTACCTGTTTATGTATGCCACCTGTGTGCAGTGCCTGCAGATGCCAGAGGAGGGTTTTAGATACTGTAAAACGGTATATACCAGTCCATTACAGGCCGTCTTTTGTGGGTGATGGGAGCCAAACCAGTGTCCTCTGCAAGAGCAGCAAGTGCTCTTAATCACTGAGCCGCCACTCAAGCAGCATCTGTTCTGTGTCTTATTTAGGTTTCAGGTTATTTACTAGACTACCTTGAATTCGATAGCAAAACTGGTCTATAAAGCATTATGACCATGCTGTGTGCTGACTGTGACTTGTTTTAATTGACGTTTTTGTGCTACCTGCCTACAAATAGTCATCGATCTCTGTTAAGGGTTGGTCAGTTGTCTCTATCTTTCACAAAAGAAATTTAAGACACCACAGTGTGTTTTCAAAAATATTCGTGTTTCAGAATGTACTTAGTGGTCACCCTGTTCACAATTTGTAAGTGACTCAATGAGAGGTTGATAATGAAGAGAAATACAGGATATGTCTGTGCTTATGGAGAACAAAATCAAATATTCTCACACACACACACGTGTGTGTCTCTCTCTGTGTGTATGTGTGTATAATGTGTGTGTGTTGTGTAAAGATATATTTATGATACTAAAAAAAACAGAAAAGAAACAAATAAGAAGTGTGTCTGCTCTTCTTTCTATTCTAAAATACAGTTCTGGAACGTACATCATCCAAACGAGATTAGGCTGTGTTTATTATATTTGTTCTGTTAAGATCAATTGAATTCAAAAATCACACTATGAGTCAGAACTTTTGTAGTTTTTAATATACTCAGTATTGCATACCTTGTTTCCCCACATTTCTACAGTATTAGAGGAAGATGCTAACCTTTCTTGAACATGCAAATAACTAATAATTTGTGATACTAAATATTAAACTTGTAAGAAAATATAAGCACCTCCATGAAACATCTGAATTTTTGGTTGAATGATAATTGCCATACACTTAAAAATATTCTGCTTTCCTGATATTTTTAAAACTAGCTGGCTGTATAGTGTTCCACATGTACCTCAGAACTCACAGTAATGTTTTTCTGTATTTCTGATGATTTAATAGTACACAGCTTTATTTCAATTTTATGAAATATTAAAACCAGGAATGATTATTTACTGTTAGCTAAAAGCTTATACAAATTGACCTGCAAGTGAGATACAAAGACCATCTATGGTTCTATAGAAATTTCTAGAAAATGTTTTAGTAAGGATTGATGAGGATAAGAGGTTGGGGTCTGAGGTCTGCTGGGGGATTATAAAGGTTACTATGACCAAAAAAAAGTCTTATTTTATCTTAAGTTCCTTTCATTACTGAAACTATCATTGTATAAGCTACAATTACCCAGGGAAGTGTGTATGTTTTCCTTTCAAGTTGTTCCTGGGTTAACCTCCCTTCTTTCTTGCTTTTATTCTATTTATTTATTTTACCTATTATTACTTTATGTTTACCAGTGTTTTGTCTTCATAGACGTCTGCTGTGTATCGCGTGCATACATAGTATCTGTGAAATTCAGAAAAAAGGAACTAAATCCTCTGGAACTAGAGTTATAGATGCTAATTGATCACCATATGGGTGCTGGTCACTAAACACATCATTGACAAGAGCTCTTAACCACTGAGCCATCTCTCCAGGCTACCGTTTTCTTTCTAATACATTAATTTTTAACTTTCTTTTTTAATATATCAAGTAATACTTTTCATTTTGTTACTTTCCAAACCTTTTTTGTTGTTTTTTTCCTTCCCCATGTGGCATTTATACACAATTTAATTTTAATAAACTATAAAAAAATATGTAATCGTGAAATTTGGAGAAAATGCGTGGTTCTGGAAAATAACACTTGAAGTGACTCAGACAAAAGTCACATTTTCTCTCTTACATGCATATGCTAATCTACACTCATGAGTGTAAATAAAGGGGTATGACTACCACAAGAAGAGATGAGGAAGTTAACACCCCAGTAGGGGGCAAAAAAGAGCAATGTTAACTTTATAAGTACAACAGCAGCCTTGACAAAGAAAGCCTCAGGAAGGAGGCAAAGGAAGAGCAAAGAACCACATTTTACTTCATTTTGTTTCTTAATTTTTAAAACTCATTTAAAAGTTTTATTTTTCATTGTTTGAGACTTTCATCTGAGTTATCACATACTTTATCGACTTTATCCCCATCTTCCCCTTATCAAATTCTTTTTTTTGTTTTTGTTTTTGTATTTGTTTTTTTTTTCAAAGTTTATTAAATTATAAAAGTTTCCATTTCTGCCCCTCCTTCCAACACCCTCCCACTCCCTCCACTCCCTCTCCTCCTCCCTCTCCATCCCTAAGAGCAGTCAGGGTTTCCTGCCCTGTGGGTAGTTCAAGTTCCTCCCCCCTCCCTCCAGGTCCAGGAAGGTGAGCATCCAAACAGACTGGATCCCAAAAATCCAGTATATGCAGAGGAAACAAGTCCCAGTGCCATTATCAAATTCTAGCTCCATCAACTAACAGTTTTTTCCGTCCAAACGTTATGGGCTCTTTTTCAAATTTATTTAAATAGCATTTTCCTTATTTGTTTTACATACCAACCTGTTTCCCTTCCCTCCTTTCCTTCTACTTCCTCTCCTTTCCCATCCACCCCCTTCCCCATCAACTCCTCCATCCCATTCAAAAAGGGACAGGCCTACCATGGGCTTTTTACAAAGGGTAACTAACACTTCAAGATGAGGCAGGGCCAGGACTAAGCTCCTTCCCTTACACCCAGGCTGGGCTAGGTAATTCAGCATGTGGATTGCCAAAAGTTACCAAGACTCCACTTTCTACTGTCTGTTTATGTGTAGTGTAAGACAATATACAGGAGAATGTGCTTTCCTGGGCTAAATTCTTAAAGAAAACACTCTCTCTCTCTCTCTCTCTCTCTCTCTCTCTCTCTCTC